ATACGCTGTTTGAGCGCCCCCGCACCTGCAACCACCTGCCTCTGCATTATTGCAGTTACATGGGACCACCGTTTTGAGGCATCTAACATCACAACCACCACAGTGATCCAACATGGATTCAACAGCCAGAGATGCAGAGCGCTAGTAGCACCTGTTGCTAACTTGCAAGGTCAGGGCCGCTTGGTCGGCCCAGACGAGCATACTCTCGTGGTAACCCTACCTGGGGCCACATCCTTATCACAGCCATCTTCCATCCAAGGCAACACCCAGGCAAACTGGCACACACCTCTTTTTCAGGCAACGACGGCTCTTCCTCTCGGCGTGTTCACGGTTTATGTTACAGCTCTATCAGTGATATAACGTGCAAAGATACATTACCCTAGTGGGCCAACCCGTACTGCCACCCTGAATAAAACCAGGGACAGCTGGATGGCCTAACTTACGTAATGTGTATTGCCGTATATAGCACTCTTTCTCTCCTCTGCTAAACATTTCTTCCTCTTCAGGCCGGGACCTACCCCCTGTGCGGTGAAAGTGCAGTGGGGTATTCGTCCTTTCCTCCCAGGTGGGGCCACAGCACGTGCTTGCGCCCTGTGTCTCCCTGCCTGGCTTGTTTGCTATGCCGATCCACTGCTAGAACCTCGTGATAGTGCGAGTCAACTAGCAGTGGGGGTTGCCCTTGAGTAACACCTTCAGGACTCACAAATACTTTGTATTTGTGCCGAACCGGGTTCAATTAGCCTGCTAAGAACCCGGAATTACGCCTCTGACAACCGAGCTCCAACCCACAGCTCACGAGCCTAAGATCCACAGCTCCACGGAGATCGCAGCTACCCAGCTGAGTCAACCCACCACCACCTCCTCCACCAGACCACTACCTCACCTAAAATGCACTGCCTTCGCCTCATCTATGCTCTTGATCCTCCCCTTGACCCTGACGGAATAGGACAGAAAATCTACATGATCACCCAGACTCCTTACACCTCCATCACCCCCATTGACAAAGGAATAAAGCTCTTTCTACCCTCTGAATCTGACCTCTATGCTTGCCTCACCCCCAAAGCCCGAACAGGACTACAGACACTTGGACTCACCCCTGCACTGACACTGGAACAGAAACATAATTGCACTGCTGTTGCCTTCAACGTAGACACCACCCTCCTCTCCACGATTACAACTTTAGACAAACAACGTACTGCCGACATCGGAAAAGCCAACAACATCATCATAGAAGATCTCTTCCACCCACCAAACACAAAGATCCTCAGAATCCGTTGCTCCTCCCCCACTGAAGCTGAATCCCTCCTCACACATGGCTTTAAAGCAGACCACATTTCCATCCCACATTATAACTTCAAGATGAGCACATACCAGTCCATTACACAATGCTTCAGGTGCTATGGATTCAACCATACCACCAGGCAATGCAAGGAAAAGGAACAAGCCTGCTCCTTATGCGCCAACAAAGGACACTTCTGGAAAGATTGCACAGAAGGAACACGATGCTGTATAAACTGTGGTGAAAACCATCCTGCCACCCACCACAATTGCAAAATCAGGGTGCAACTCATCAAGGCAATGAGGAATAAGACCCAAAACACACTACCCCAATATCATGCCCAGACAGCACGCCAGCTTTATCCCCAAAACCTCACTAACCAGCTTCACCGCCCCAACACACTTCCCCAAAATGCTCAAACAATACCCATCAACCCTCAAGGTAGAGGTGCCCTGCTCCCCACCCCCCCAGGTTTCCCACCTCTCCAAACCCACACCACCAGCGGACACCATCTCGCAAACCACCATACTCAGGCCCCCCCTCCCCCCCCTCACCCAACAACAGACGACACCCCGAGAATAGTGGCAGCTATCATAATAGCACAGATATCAGCACAAGGAGACACGAGGAAGGCAATTTCCAACATCCAACAAATCCTACTAGCAAACAACCTCCCTCCAATAGTCATCCCTCCCAGCTTGGCGTCACAACCAGTACAACCCCTAACACCTCCCCCCATCACCCCACAAGCACTTACACCACCACCACCCCTTATTACTCCCCAGACACCAAACCCAGTATCACCCCCACCCCTTATCACACTCCAGGCATCAAACCCAGTACCACTCTCACCCCTCACCACCTCCCAGACAAAAAATCATTCGGCTTGTTAGTCAACTTGCCTCTAATAGGGGCAATTTGTCTAACAAGACTATTTAGTTTTGTGTGTATATATATATATATATATATATATATATATATATATATATATATATATATATTATATATATATATATATATATATATATATATATATATAATATATATATATTATTATAGCTTCAAGACTCTGAACCAATATAAAAGCATCAAGAGGAAGTGCTTGTGTTATGGGCCAATAGGCCTTCTGCAGTTACTTCCATTCTTATGTTTTTATTCCCATTGGTTCGTGTTTTATCTTGTGTAATGTCAATCACCTTACCCAAAACTTTGGTACCATATCACTCACCCCCCATGTATAATATATATATATATATATATATAATATATATATATATATATATATATATATATTATATATATTATATATATATTATATATTATATATATATATATAATATACAGAGTAAATCTACCCAAAAGTAATGATTTATTTGTCTACAAAACTAAACTCTTTTTGGAATCATATGAGGCCCCTCCACTGAGGGGGAGGCCTGGATGTTTATTGTCATGTGTATTCATGCTGCTTGCATGTCGTCGTTTATTTTGCCTTTGTTGTTTTTTTGACAGCTTTCTTTGCCTTGGGTGGTTTGGGAGATTTGAAGTTCTCTTTATTTTGGGCTTTTTGTTCCCACCAAGCTGCTGCTGCTGCTGCTGCTTCTTTTTCAAGGCTGTAGGTGTTTGTTGCTTGTGGCGGCTTTCTTGGGAGTTACCACGGCCTTCTTTTTGCTGCTGTAGATGGTTTCTTGGTTGTGGTGGCTTTCTTGGGAGTTAGAACGGCCCTCTTCTCTGCTACGGCCAGCTTGAATGATCCACTAGCTCCACTTCCCTTGGTCTGAACAAGAATGCCGTCAGCCACTGCTTTCTTGAGAAATCTTCGGATGTAAATGGCGATCTTGGCAGCCTCGACTTTGTTGTTGGCAACAACGTACTTCTTGATTGCTTGTAGAGACGAGCCCTTACGGTCTTTGAGTGCTGCGACCGCGGCTAGAACCATTTGACTAGTTTTCGGGTGAGCAACCTGGACGCGAGGTTTCCTGGTGGTGGCCACCACAGCAGCAGCAGCCGCAGCCTTCTTGGTAGGCTTTGCTTCTACCATGATGATGATGAGATAACCAAGGTGATGAGAGACGCTCAGACAGTCACGGGAATGATGCTGCCGCCGCTTGAGCCGAACCTATTGTACCGTGCCGGCACGGTACAGAAGCTGCAACCTGCAACTCGTCCACCAATCACGACGGTTGGTTTTACGGCTCCGAAACCTGGATCCCATATCTTCTCTAAAATAGAAGCATTTGTTCATGTTCTTTGTAAAAGTATCATAAAGCAGGACAGATGAGACAAATATCATAAAAACTGAAGAGCAGATGAGCACACACATGTTTGTATTACAAAAGAAAATCCACAAATTCATTAGAAATTGGCAGGGCAGGCTGAGGAAGTAGGTAGATGTAAAATGTCTGTAAATGGCGAAAGAACATAAACCCAAGACTGAATAAACGATGTTAAATATCCATGCCAAGGAGACAAAATATGTTAGGATACATTACCATTAAGACACCACAAGCAGGTCCGTATCCTGCCGCGATGACTTAAAGAGTTGGTTATTAGCCAATGTGTAGGCAGTCTCATGCCAACGGCCATACCACGTTGAGAACACCGCTTCTCGTCCGATCAGCGAAGTTAAGCAACGTTGGGTTTGGTTAGTACTTGGATGGGTGACCGCCTGGAACACCAAATGCTGTTGGCAATAATGTTTTTTTGTTTTGTTTTGTTTCGTTTGTTTTTGTTTGAATGGCTGGCTCCACGGGAAATTCACGGAGTTGTGTGGAATAAGGCCTGGTAAAATGAATTAATATGTATGTCATGTTTAAAACAAACTCGCTTAATATAGATATTGTGTGAGGCTTTATACAAAAACAAAACCAAAACAAAACATGTTGTATATATATAATAGCTTAATCCGGGTTTGAACTCGCAACTCCAAGAATACGCATCACTTATATACACTTTACCACTGGACCACTGCTGCAGACACAAGCTTGATGCTGAGGTATCAATTTAATGACGTAAATGCCATTTCCACAAATAAATGATAATTAAAAAGTATTTGTATGTACAAATCTTTTCTGTTTAAAAGGCTACAATATCAGTTACTGATATAATTTGTGTTAATGTTTCTATACCCACAAGAAGGCATATTTTTGCTTATATGTAAGGGTACGGAGAAGGAATCCACAGACCATCATTCCCCTCCCCTCCTCCCCCCCCCCCCCCAACTCCCACCTACTACCACCACCACCACCACCACCACCATCACACCACCAATCACCACCAATCACACCACCACATCTAACCGAAAACCCCCTAACACATCAACCCTCCCCCCAATCAACAGGCGAAATAATAACCCTCAAATGCCTGCCTGCCTGCCTGCCTGCAAGCCAATACTAACGGTCTTCTCAGAAGAAAATCTCTTTGTATCTGTATTACTTGATGAAATGTATGATTCTAATATGAAATAAATTTTGATGTCGGTTGTATGAGCATAATGACCAATATGCACATGATATGAATGAATTAATAGTGTAGTTTTAAGTAATTAGGTTGTAGACACATTAAGCGGATATGATATTTGACGCGTCCAGAACTGGTGATTTTTGGTTTAGTTTTAAATGCACCACCACCACCACCACCACCACCATTGCTTCCCCAAGCCTAATTAAGGACCGGTAAAGGAGTCAATATGTATGTCATCTATAAAACCAAAGAATGAATAAAAAAACACACACCAAACCTACATAATAGTATTAGGAAGATTGTATGGCAAAAAAAAAAGTATTATTCCCATTGGGTCGTTTGAACTCGCGACTTCCAAAACACCAGCCACACGCCCTTACCACCCAGCCACCATAGAGTTTTGGTATATTTTGCAACTTTAGTTATAAAAGTAAAGTTTTCTCACATTGTATTGATAACTTAAGGATTTTTTTTTTTTTTTTGCATGTACAAATCTTATTGTCTGTTCTATGAAAAGGCTTGATGTAAATTATGTATTTTTTTTTTTGTTTTGAATGATTGAATAGTAGGGCACATTAGCGGATTCGATATTTGATATATCCAGAAAAGGCGATTTATGTTCAGTTTTAAAATGCATCACCGTTAACGCTAAAGGACTGGTAAAATGACTCGATGTTTGTCATTTTTAAAATAAACACTAAAACAAGGCCCTTAACATATAATGTTTGAATATAAATTGAATGCATATAAATACAAAGTGGGAGTGGCTGGCTGGCTGGCTGGCTGGCTGGCTGGCTGGCTGCTGGCTGGCTGGCTGCCTGCCTGCCTGCCTGCCTGCCTGCCTGCCTGCCTGCCTGGCTGCCTGCCTGCCTGCCTGGCTGCCTGCCTGCCTGCCTGCCTGCCTGCCTGCCTGCCTGCCTTGCCTTGCCTTGCCTTGCCTTGCCTTGCCTTGCCTGGCCTGTCCTGTCCTGTCCTGTCCTGTCCTGTCCTGTCCTGTTTATTGCCTTGCCTTGCCTTGCCCTGCCTTGGCTGCAGCTGGCTGGCTGGCTGGCTGGCTGGCTGGCTGGCTGGCTGGCTGGCTGGCTGGCTGGCTGGCTGGCTGGCTGGCTGGCTGGCTGTCTGGCTGGCTGGCCGGCCGGCCGTAAATCAACTCTTAACAACACAACACCACACCACACCATCACTCATCACCCATCACCCACCACCGGCCCCAGTCTCCCAGCCTCTCTTATATACCCGAGCAGGCCCTTTAAATTATTTGAATTGTTGCACTTCGGCCAATGGCACGATCGCTGCTGCTCAAACATATTCTGGTTCACAAGTATTAAAATATATATATTATAATATATATATAATTATATATATAAGCACCAACAAATAGGAAGAAACTCCAGCGTACCCAGAACAGGGCTCTGAGATGGGTGTTCGATACCCATTGGCAGGACTTCACCACCAGTGAGGCCCTGCATGAGAGGGCGAACATCCCACCTCTGAACATAACCTGGGATACTATGGGGAAGAAACAGATTGACAGAATTCTCACCTATCATGACAACTACGACACGTTCCTCAGAAACGTCCTAAGCAGACCCAGACATACGCACAACCTCTTTAACCTGATCGACGATCCACCTCCTGCTCCGTCCTTTACATAACCCCTCTCCTATAATATCACTACTCAAATCACCAAACTTCCAACTATAACCTCCTAACTCTTCTCCCCCCTCTTTAGGGGGGGACCAACTAGCTCCCGTTTTCTGGTGCCTTGGGTGGGCCGCGATGCTGATTAACAGATCAAAGACCACATCTGGTGTGAGCCTCCAGGGCACACCCAGCTGAGGACTGCTGTCTCCGTGGGTGCTCAGAAAAGACGAAATGTTGTCACAGATCCGATTCCTTGCCTTCACTGCCTAGTCTGGTCATAACGATTTCAATGCCATGCAGCTGGGTCTAGCCCTGGCACTTTACCTCATACTGAAAACCCTTCCTCTCACCCCCACTAATTCTTCCCCTATCCCCACTTCCACCACGCTCACCCATTAGGGTATCTTGACCTATATTTAAATGAATGAATGAATGAATGGCATTCGTCAGGGCCGCTTGGTCGGCCCAGACGAGCATACTCTCGTGGTAACCCTACCTGGGGCCACATCCTTATCACAGCCATCTTCCATCCAAGGCAACACCCAGGCAAACTGGCACACACCTCTTTTTCAGGCAACGACGGCTCTTCCTCTCGGCGTGTTCACGGTTTATGTTACAGCTCTATCAGTGATATAACGTGCAAAGATACATTACCCTAGTGGGCCAACCCGTACTGCCACCCTGAATAAAACCAGGGACAGCTGGATGGCCTAACTTACGTAATGTGTATTGCCGTATATAGCACTCTTTCTCTCCTCTGCTAAACATTTCTTCCTCTTCAGGCCGGGACCTACCCCCTGTGCGGTGAAAGTGCAGTGGGGTATTCGTCCTTTCCTCCCAGGTGGGGCCACAGCACGTGCTTGCGCCCTGTGTCTCCCTGCCTGGCTTGTTTGCTATGCCGATCCACTGCTAGAACCTCGTGATAGTGCGAGTCAACTAGCAGTGGGGGTTGCCCTTGAGTAACACCTTCAGGACTCACAAATACTTTGTATTTGTGCCGAACCGGGTTCAATTAGCCTGCTAAGAACCCGGAATTACGCCTCTGACAACCGAGCTCCAACCCACAGCTCACGAGCCTAAGATCCACAGCTCCACGGAGATCGCAGCTACCCAGCTGAGTCAACCCACCACCACCTCCTCCACCAGACCACTACCTCACCTAAAATGCACTGCCTTCGCCTCATCTATGCTCTTGATCCTCCCCTTGACCCTGACGGAATAGGACAGAAAATCTACATGATCACCCAGACTCCTTACACCTCCATCACCCCCATTGACAAAGGAATAAAGCTCTTTCTACCCTCTGAATCTGACCTCTATGCTTGCCTCACCCCCAAAGCCCGAACAGGACTACAGACACTTGGACTCACCCCTGCACTGACACTGGAACAGAAACATAATTGCACTGCTGTTGCCTTCAACGTAGACACCACCCTCCTCTCCACGATTACAACTTTAGACAAACAACGTACTGCCGACATCGGAAAAGCCAACAACATCATCATAGAAGATCTCTTCCACCCACCAAACACAAAGATCCTCAGAATCCGTTGCTCCTCCCCCACTGAAGCTGAATCCCTCCTCACACATGGCTTTAAAGCAGACCACATTTCCATCCCACATTATAACTTCAAGATGAGCACATACCAGTCCATTACACAATGCTTCAGGTGCTATGGATTCAACCATACCACCAGGCAATGCAAGGAAAAGGAACAAGCCTGCTCCTTATGCGCCAACAAAGGACACTTCTGGAAAGATTGCACAGAAGGAACACGATGCTGTATAAACTGTGGTGAAAACCATCCTGCCACCCACCACAATTGCAAAATCAGGGTGCAACTCATCAAGGCAATGAGGAATAAGACCCAAAACACACTACCCCAATATCATGCCCAGACAGCACGCCAGCTTTATCCCCAAAACCTCACTAAC